AGACCAATCTGTATCACAGTCAGGTTCAGCTAAACATAAAAGTAATCAATTGCTTAGTAATCAACCAAATCGCTTCAATCTTATTTCTTCTAATGTTTTAATAGTATTTTTTTTCATTTTTTTTTTTAGACCTATGTCATACCAATATTAATGCTGACTTTTCAGTTTTATTATGAATGAAACATCAATAATTCTTCATTTCGAAAGCTAAGTTCTAATGATAAGTTAATTATATTTTGTTAAGCAATTAATTTCCAACCTAAAATAGGAAACATCTGAATAATAAAACATGTGTGTTATTTTCGCCTTTGTAATCTGAAAAAGAGGGTGACCATGACGGTGAACAAGAGGGTGAACAAGAGGGTGACCATGAGGATAAACAAGAGGGTGAACATGAGGATAAACAAGAGGGTGACCATGCCGGTGAACAAGAGGGTGAACAAGAGGGTGACCATGACGGTGAACAAGAGGGTGACCATGACGGTGACCATGAGGATAAACAAGAGGGTGACCATGAGGTTGACAATGAGGGTGAACAAGAGGATGATGGTGAGGGTAAACAGGGGAGGGGGGGTGAGCATGAGTGTGGCCAAGAGGGTGACAAGGAGAGTGAACAAGAGGATGACCATGAGGGTGGCCAAGAGGGTGGCCAAGAGGGTGAACATGAGGGTGAGAAAGACGGTGACCATGAGGGTGAACAAGAGGATGACCATGAGGGTGACCATGAGGTCTAACAGGAGAATGACCATTTGGGTCAACAAGAGGATGACCATGAGAGTGAGCAAGAGGGTGACCATGAGGGTGACCATGAGGATGAACAAGATGATGACCATGTCGGTGATCAAGAGGGTGAGCAAGAGGGTGACCATGAGGGTGAACAACAGGATGACCATGACGGTGATCAAGAGGGTGAGCAAGAGGGTGATCAAGAGGGTGAACAAGGGGGTGAGCAAGAGGGTGACCATGACGGTGAACAACAGGATGACCATGACGGTGAACAAGAGGGTGAGCATGAGGATAAACAAGGGGGTGACCACAAGGGTGGCCAAGAGGGTGACCATGAGGGTGACCATGAGGGTGAACAAGGGGTTGACCACAAGGGTGACCAAGAGGATGACCATGAGGATGTCTATGAGGTTGAACTAGAGGGTGACCATGAGGTTGGACAAGAGGGTGACCATGAGGATGTCCATGAGGTTGAACTAGAGGGTGACCAGTAGGGTAAACAAGAGGGTGACAATAAGGATGACCAAGAGGGTGACCATGAGGTTGAACAAGAAGCTGAGCATGAGGGTGACCAAGAGGGTTACCGTGAGGGTGACCATGAGGGTGACCAAGAGGGTAACCATGAGGGTGAACAAGAGGGTGACCATGAAGGTGAACAAGAGGGTGACCATGAAGATAAACAAGGGGGTGACCACAAGGGTGGCCAAGAGGGTGACCAAGAGGATGACCATGAGGTTGAGCAAGAGGATGACCATGA